TGTCGCCCTCCTGCACCGCAGCGTGCGGCGGGGTTTGGTCTTGGCCAGAGAGCAGGTCGTAAGTAAGGAAATTCTGGCAATTCACAGTTAACGACTTGTTTTTCCTTTAATTCCAAGGCTCTACGTTTGCCAAAGCCAAGCCTGAAATTCCCTGGACATCGCTAACTCGGAAGGGAATTGTGAGAGTTGTGTTTTTTCCATTATTCAGCCAGTGGTGGATACAGGTTACTTCCCAGCGCATTTTTATGTGGCTCCTGGTGCTCTACGTTATGCAAGGCAATTCACAGTTAACGACTTGTTTTTCCTTTAATTCCAAGGCTCTACGTTTGCCAAAGCCAAGCCTGAAATTCCCTGGACATCGCTAACTCGGAAGGGAATTGTGAGAGTTGTGTTTTTTCCATTATTCAGCCAGTGGTGGATACAGGTTACTTCCCAGCGCATTTTTATGTGGCTCCTGGTGCTCTACGTTATGCAAGGTGAGGGGTGCTAGCAGGCTGTGCCACAATCCTGTTTCCGCAAGGAACGTGACATCATTTTGTAGCCCATAACCTAAAGCATAAGGATCCTGTCTGAAAGCTACTTGGTGTAGATTTCAAGATGTGAGGCACTGGTGTTTGCAGAAATCATAGAACAGAGTAAAAAAAAAAATAGCGAAGACAGAAAAAGGGGACTCTGCTCTTGATTTTTGTATTTGATACTATTTTGTCCTTTTCAGTTATAGCAGTTGTGTTGTATTTCGTGGTGCCTGTTGTGAATGCGAGTGAAGTCATGGGGCCAATGTGCCTTATGTTACTGATGGGAACTGTTCACTGTCAAATAGTGTCCACCCAGATCAGCAAACCGTCGGCAAACAACGGGCTCGGCAGGCGGAGGAGGTGAGTGGGGTAATGGGTTCGTTTGTTGGCATCAAAGCATGTGATGGATTGCTCATGGTGGAAGTTAATGGGCAAATCTCTTCTATTTTTGTGTAAATATATTATTTAACCATAAGTATGAAAATTAGTGTTTTCTGTCTTGCTTGTAATCTGCTCGTAACCAAGACAGAAGCTGCAAGTTTACCAGGCTGTGAGAGGTCTGGTTTAGTGGTCAGCTGGGCCTTCTGCCATCGCTTTCCAGCACAGCCTCTTTCTGTGGGCAGAGGAGGGCATTCTGCACAGAAAGGCATCGCCGTGGTGTTGCAAACCCGTCTGGTGTCCTGCTTTTGCATTAACTGTGGGGAGTTGCTGGTGTGTGTTGGGATGACGGGGATGGCTGTGGTGGATTCGGTGCTGGCAATTTGTTGGTGCACATGGGAGATGTCACGGTCCATCTGCTAGGTGTTTCAGCGTTAGGTATCTGACCCAGTTTAAACACTGATGTAATACATTTGAACGCAGGATGATGGATGTGGAAGGAACTTTGCCCCCATGAGATTTCTGCAACAAAGATTTTGTCTGTTGCATCCTATGCTGATGATGATGTGATATGCTGATGTCCTGTGGGCATATGCATAACTTCTGTTAATCCAAATAAAATTTATTTTATTTGGAAATAAGCATTCTGTCTGCATGACTTAAGGAAAATAGCATCTCTAAAAAACTGTTCAAATCTGACTCAGATCTTCTAAGAAAGACCTAAAAGCAGCTTGCTATGCAAATTTAATTCTCCTTTTTTTAAAAATCAGGAAGTTACGCAAATCTGTGGGTGTGGATGGGAACAGTTGGTCTTCTCCTGACAAAAACAGTAAAGAAGAGCAGTCTGAATCTGCATCCGTTCTTAAGAATTTATTTAGTGTGCTTTTCCGAAGGAGGTATGTGATCTTCACTGGGCTCGTGTTTGTAATGACATTGTGAATAATCTGATATCTGGAAAATGAAGACAGAATGTATGCTGTCACTGACATCCCCAAAGTCTGCCGGTTAGTTTCTTTTGAACTAAAAGCACTCTTGGTATTGTAAGAGGCTGATTCCTCATGGCTTTTTAGTATGTTCTTATTAGGAGATCATACCATATCTCACAGTATAGCTAAAACTGGGCGTCAAATGCATTGCAGAAGGTGGCAGGGCTTATTTTTGTCAGATGAGTGACCTTTCTTGAATGTGTGTGCTCAAATTATGTCGCTGTTCTACCTGATTTCCAGAAGCAATTGTGCCTTCTAGTTTAAGTTGCTTGAATAGTCATCCTGCTTTACCACCTTACTTTTTCTAAAAGTTACTCGAGGAAAAGGAGGATAGATTGTTTGGGATAATATTTCATTGTCTTCTGCTGTTTTCTCAGGTGAGTTTCGTGATGAGTTTTTAACTGACAGGTCCCTTCTGTTGATGAGGACTTGTTCTCTCAATTGCTCTTAGCTATGTTTTCCAAAACAATAAGAAAAATTGTCTCTCTTGTTTTAGAAGTTTTAAGATACTATTAGAGTTGCAAAAGGACTGTGAAAGTGAGTGTGAAGCAGATATAAGTCTCTTCAGCAGAACCAGGACACAAAGAGCCTGTCAGCAGAAGAAAATTATGTATTCCCTTAGCTATATTGTTTAATGTTGTGCCTGTGTGGCAAGTGAAAGAGACTGTGATGTTTTCCTCTGACATAAAAGCATTTAATTGTATTTCCTCTCATAGGATTAGAAGAGTAAAGTTGGTATCTGAGAAAGGGACTGAGACAGAAAATGGTGTGAATGCTGTGAATAATGGCATTAAGCACAGACATGCCAGATCTGAATACAGGCTGTTGCACTTCAAAGAGAAAAATAAACTTTCCGATGGGGAAAAGAGCCATCAGGTACTGGCAGGGACGATCCATCTGAAGTCAATTCCATCCAACTGACATACAATTTCAGTGTGTTCTGTATATACCCAAAAGTTTGTTGATGCTTAACTGTATGGTTTGATCTAATACAAGATACTCCCTTCTACTAATCTGTGCTTTCATATAGGAAAGCTAAAAACCCTTTCTACTTCTTGACTGAAGAGCTGACATGGTGCTGATACTTTACTGTCTGCATCTTTTCAACTGTTACAATAGTCAAATATGTCAGTCACGGACAGTCCTGGAAAATGTCTCTTCTACCAAAGCGCTCGTTTAGTTTTAGAGACTGATCACAAGATGTTCAGTTAAGGAAGACTGCTGATAATGGTTAAAAATAAATAAATCAGCAGTTTTCCAAAGCAGTTCTATAAAATAATTTGCCTTGCGAACAGTTCCTCACAATATCCTCCCAGAAGGGAGGCAGGAACGTAAAGACTGAAACATCCCTTGGGGAGAGAAAGACAGCATTAAGGCATCATGACCTCTGTTGAAATCTCTAAAACAAAGCTTTGTGGAGTAACTTTTGAGGCTCCTCTGGGTCGGTTAAGGTGTTAACTCCCACATGAAGAACTTGGATTAGAATCTGTGCAGAACAGCGTAGTACTGTGCCATCCCAACTCCTCTGTTTGTTGGCATTTGGAGAAGAGCAGAGCTAGGTGTAGTGGGACGCATCTCATGGTTTCGGATCTGCTAGCCACCAGCTTGTAGATACATCTGTTCTCCCAGGCTTAAGGTTGCTGGTGAGATGTAGCCAAGCGCTGCTGCTGGCTCTTCCTCTTCCTGCCCTGCCCCAGATCCCACTCCGCCTCACCCAAGATTCCCTCTCATTACCTCTGTGGTAAGGCAAGGGCCGGGGTAAAGGGTTAGAACTGGTGATGCCTCTGTGATGCCAAGTTGGGTTCTGTTTCTGCATGTTCTGTGGGCATCATCTGCTGCTGGCTTCTGCCGGTGATTAGAGGTTGCTGTGTGTACCAGTGTAGCAGCAGCACTGGCTTTGAGCCTTTGGTTTGATGCAGTTCAGGCTGGTCCTCTGTTGGTGCCTTAGTCTTATTTTGACTGCTGTCTTTCTAGGACGACTGCACCAACAGAGGTGGTGTTTCTGATGAGCTTTCGAGTGAGGAGGATGCTGAAGCAATGGCACAAAGGATCTTGTTACGCCAGAATGTAGAAGGGGCTTCCAGTGACAATAGCTATGAAGAGAAGAAAAAGAGGCCTCTTGTTTCCCTGAACCAGGCTGTCTCACAGGTACTCATGCTGAAGTTACGCCGTTTTCCACACAACTTTTTTGCTATGGGTAATGAGCTGGTTTTCCTTTGTTTTTGGCAGGTGAAGCAAGCCCTGAAAGGTGCCAGAGACTCTGATAGTGTTGTGGAATCTGAACTAGAATCCACATTACATAGTCAGGTATGGTCATAAATTCAGGAGACAGAGCTTTACTGAGCCTGGCCAGTGCAGGGTCATCCTCCCCGTCAGAACAGACCTTTATTAAATGACAGTGCTTCAGGTACAAGGTGTGGCCTCCCTCCCTGCTTGTGTGCAGCTCTGAACTTTGCTCACAGTTGTGAGCATACAACAAACAAACAACAAATCACCCTCTTGGCAGCGTGGTATGGCCCAAGCTGCCTCTCATTGCTTGTGTCGAATTGCTACAATTGCTCCTGAGGTTTGGGAGGTAGCACTGTGTTGTAGCTTTTATGCTAATAAATATTGATTTTAAATGAAGAAATTATTTTGTGATACGTACTCATTCACTTTGTTACTTTATCTTGCTCCTTGCCACTCCCTCCACCTGAAAATAAGATAGAAATAAAATACATGCATATCAAATAATAAATATAAAAATGTATAAATAAATATAGAAGGTAAATGAAATCTTAAAATAGATTATGCAAAATTCAGAAAACTGTTGCATTAGAATGATTAAGTCAATTTTTATTTTGTAAAGTTGGGAATAGAGGTGGGGAACTAATGGTTTCCGTGTGACTTCCCGTGTAGAAATGGTGGTTGCAAAAACTATCCATGAGTAATATTATCTTTACCAGTTTGCATCAGGTGGGTGTGAGCGGGAGTCCTCAGCTGCCCCGGGAAGCTGATCCAGCCGATGGCTGGGGAGGAGGAGGAGGAGGTTGTTCTGCACATTGCCTGTGAGGCTGTGCTGTGTACATTTTGCTCTTCAAAGGACTCGAGGTCCTGCATCAGTGTGGGATCCCGGAGCTGTAATGTGACCCGGAGAGACTCGGAAAGCACTCGCCATGACTCTGAGACCGAAGACATGCTTTGGGACGATCTGCTTCACGGGCCAGAGTGTCGGTCGTCCTGCACCAGCGACAGTGAGGAAATGACTGTGAGAGGCATCAGGCGGGATCTGAAGGAAGATGTTTTCCAGCAGGTTTGTGGATTTGTGTCCAGTAGCTGAGAATACTACGAAGGGTTCCTGCCCCCGTCTGCCCAAATAGTAGGAAAGGCACGTCTGAATGCTGCTGGTATCATGTGAGCAGCCTAATGCTGGGTGAGCCCATCTGTCAACCGCGCTAATCACCCGGGAGCCTGCAGTGGTCTAAATAGTATCAGTGATCCACTCCCTCCTCCCACCGGTATTGTCTGGACCACTGCTACTCCCAAAACAAGGTATTTCACCCAAAGACAGATTTGGAATCCCCCCTTGACCTGTGTACTTTCTAGGAAAAAGCATTATTTAATAGTGGGACAGAAATAGATGATGCACCTTTTGCATTCTTTTCTCTTTTATAGAACCATTTGTTTTGGCTGCAGAATACAAGTCCGGCATCTGCTAAAGTGAGCGCACTGATCTGGGAAGGGAATGACTGTAAGAAGGTGGACATGTCCGTGCTGGAGATCAGCGGGATTATCATGAGCAGGGTAGGAAGGCTGTAAGGCATTGCAGCCTCTCTCCCTCACGCTTTAAAAAACAACCAAAAAACCTGAAAACAGCTATAGATACAAATATGAAGTGCAGTATAAAGTTGGTCCCTCCTCAACTGCGAATACAGTTGTCCCAAACGTTCTTACTTAAAAATTGCATTGACCAAAATTTAGGAGGTCCTGTTGAAGACTGGCGAGTGCCGATTATTGTTGGCTGTGGCTCTGCAGTGTGTGCAAGGTGGTGGTTTTATTATTTATTGACTGATTATTGTTGGTTTTGGACTGAAATGGGTGGAATTACTTTAGGTTATGTCCTTTGAAGGGAAAGGGAACTGAATGCTTGATTGAAGTAATGCTGCTACAACAGCATGCCTTTTCCTTAGTGCAAAAACCCAGGCAATCATCCTATTTTTGTTCCTGCTTGCCAGGTTAATGCCTACCAGCAAGGAGTGGGGTATCAAATGCTGGGAAAAATCCCCACTCTACAGACTCTTCCGCACAGATAACCTGGAGCAGTTCTGCTCAATTTCTCTAAAGGAGCTTCTGCACATCTTTTGTGGAGCACCTGCTAGTACCCCTGTCGTTCTTTTGTCTGCAATCAACTTCCTTGAAAGACTTTGCTTAACCTGGATGTTCTTCTTCATGATGTGTGTTGCTGAGAGAACGTACAAACAGGTAGGTGTCAAGGTGCTGTTGCCTTTCGTGAGCTCTGGGCATGTGTTCTTCCAAAACCATGCTGCCCATCACAGAAGACGCTGGCAAGACAAGTATGTCTCAGCAAGGGAAGTGTCAAAGCTGGTAAGATGGCCAAGAAGTTTAGGTGGGGGAGTCTGGGAAGACTCCTGTTCATCAGTCAGAAACCTGAACCTGTCAGTGCCCTTCCTGACCCCTGCGCTCCCCTCTTGCCCTGCCCCAAAGGGAAAAGTAACCTTTTGACATCTTGACATGGCACTCTGCGTGGAAGTGAACGCTTCACCACAGAGCTGTCTGGGAAGGAGAACAAGCCTGCCTGGCTGGCCTGCTGGGAGATGGCACCAAGCATGGGCTGCATCCCAGTCAGCCCGCTGACGGCCGTGGGCAGTAGCGTTGCCAGCGTGGCCGTAGGTGCTGCCTGGGAGGCAGGCTGGTGCTGGTTGCCATTTTAGCTGGAGCTCAGTGGCTGATCGTGCACAGCCCCCACCGCTCTACCCCTGCCAGACCCAAGGTGACTGCTGTTACCCGAGAGGTCATGCACCAGGGTCCCCAGCTGGGCTTCCCCAGTGTGCCCCAAGGCGACCCTTTTCTGCCAGTTAGCACTAAGCAATCCCAAACAGTCATTTTTGGTTTAGGCTAATTTATGTTTGTGTGTGTATGTTTTTAATTTGCAGAGGTTTTTGTTTGCCAAGCTTTTTAGTCACATTACATCTGCTCGGAAAGCCAGGAAGTACGAAATTCCTCACTTTAGACTCAAGAAGGTAGAAAACATTAAGATCTGGTTGTCTCTTCGTTCCTATCTAAAGGTGAGCTCTGATCCCAGATTTATTATCACAGAGGGTGTAACCAAGTCTCTAGGTACGTCTGCTTTTCCTCATTGCTGTCTGGCACCATGGGCAGCTCTGCCTGAATCGTTAAAAATTATTGCTGTTTGTGGTGAGCCCTGACTTCATGGCTCTGCCTGCTTAGACCTAATCCAGTGTCTTTGTTCCCGCAGAGGCGAGGTCCTCAGCGATCCGTGGACGTTGTCGTATCGTCAGTCTTTTTACTGGCTCTTTCCATTGCGTTTATATGCTGCGCCCAGGTGAGATTTTGACTTTTTTTTTAAAAAAAAGAAGTAGGGAGGAAGAACCCCAAACTACTGAAGGCTTTTCTTGTGCCAGCCTACAAAGTGCTTGAACTGTAGCTGTTTGTCTCCAAAGTAATATGGAGTGTTTGTCATTTTTTAAAAGCTTTGTAATGTTTAGTTGGTAACAGATACTCATTCTCTATGTTTGCACAGCGTAGGCTGGGTTTTTATAATCATCAGGAAAATGTCAGGACATTGTGCACAAAATCCTAAGGGAGGGACTTTCTGCCCAAGTACCTCAAGTGTTCACAGGACGTTTTATTTAGGAGGGCTGACTGCAGCACCCTCTTTAACCCCTGCTGCTGAAAAGCAGGTCAATCACTATTACTTACACCTTTTAATGCTCCACTAAACCTCTGTTGCAGCAAGCAGTGTCAATGCTGGAGCTGTTTTCTTGGTTTCTTTGGTTTTGGCACGAGATTCATGACAGCGTGTAGGCAGGTTCTCGATACCATCCGTGAAGAGGCCGCTGCGGTAGCAGTAAGACTGATGATGTGTAGATACCGACTCTCACTGCTGTCATTGCTTTTGCAAGCTGCAGGTTTCTGGAGGAAGCAGTGGCACTCACCGCTGCGTGGTCACAGGCCTGACGAGTACCTGCTGGGGAAGGCAGACTCGGCTTAGCCTGGCTGGGGGGCTCTGAGGCTACCAGTGGGATGAGCACACGGGAAAGAAAGGCACTTTGGTGCCTGTTAATTGGAAAGAGGGAGGAAAGAGAAAGAACAAGCGTCCTTTTCTAAGCGGAAAGAAAAAAAAAATCAAATTTCAAGCTAAAGCCAGGTTAGAAACAAGACCTTTTACTTTAACCTAGTCACGTGAACGAATTACACTTCAAGGGAAAAACTGTTCGAGGAGGAGTGAAGGCAGTGCTTTTGCACCTTCCCAAGGACAGACATGTTACTTGTCATTGACATGGCTGGGTTGTTTTTTTTTTTTCAATACAGGTTCTTAAGGGTCACAAAACATTTCTGAATGCAGCCTACAACTGGGAGTTCCTAATCTGGGAGGCAGCACTTCTTCTCTTTTTACTACGTCTGGCATCTTTGGGCTCGGAAACCAACAAGAAATACAGTAATATTTCAATCTTGCTCACTGAGCAGGTATCTCCATTTAGCTTATTCTCCCTTTGGCTTTGTGGCTTGTGTGGATATAACTGCTGCGTTTCAAACCAGCTTTAAAAATGCTGGAATCAAATTTTAAAATTTAGAAGTCAACCCTTATGCTGGACAGACGGCAATAAAACACTGTACAGCTGGGGAGGGACAAGCCACTAAACATTTGGACAGACTCAAATTCTAAAATTTTAGATTATTTCCCTCTCTGGGTTAGCATGTTAGCCACGTCAGTCACTGCCAAATTGCTGTCTGTGGATGCATCACTCCTTCAGGAGTGACAGCAGACTGCAACAAATGACGCTCATTTCCCGTAGAAATTAGTTGGGGGCTAGTGCTGGAATATCAACATCTGGTCTGTAACATCTCTGTCACAGATAAACTTATACCTGAAGATGGAGAAGAAGCCAAACAAGAAAGAACAGCTGTCTCTAGTGAACAATGTCTTGAAACTATCTACAAAGCTGCTGAAGGTAAGCTACTCTCCCTAAAACCATACAGTCGCTAAGCTTTATGGAAGCAATGACTAATGACAGTGGCTGTGTTTTTGCTCTTCCCATTTCTCTTGTCTCCTGTTAGCTGCGCAAAAGGAGTTTTTCTGTGCTTCTGGAGCCATGGCATAAGACCAAGCAATACCAGAGCGGTGTGTGTAATTAGTGCTGTGCTTACTATGATTTGAAGTGAGAGGAGACGAACACAGCACATCTCCTCACTGCCTGAATCTCACTCTCTTTCAACTGCTTCAACTGACACTTGTTGACAGTAGCAGAGTAGATACTTGGCAAAGAGCAGTCCTAGTGTAAGAGCCACATAAATTAGGCTAGACAAATTCTGCAGCCTGTTGTGTCAAGCTCTTGTTATGCAGGCAGTGCTGCTACAAAGGTGACTCTCCAGATTCAGCGTGGCTGTTTGTTAGTGAACAGCATTGAGCTGGGAGGCCTGAAATAGAGAGGGGGAATTTCTGTCCATCGATTTAAGGAAGGATACAGAGGCAGTGCATGGTTAGAAAATTCTGCCAGAGAGCCAGTATTAAGATAAAAGTCAAGAGGATTAATTGCTTGGGGTATGGACGAATGCTAACAGACTTCTTTCTTCCTTTCACTGCAGGAGTTAGATACTCCATTTAGGCTGTACGGACTGACCATGAATCCATTAATCTACAACATAACACGAGTTGTCATACTCTCTGCTGTCTCCGGTGTTATAAGTGATCTTCTAGGATTCAATATCAGAGTAAGTGTAACCCCCACACAAGGTAACAGGCAGCGTCTCGTGTGGTCACTCGTGTACCGCTGCCAGGTCCTCCCACCCAGGCAGAAAGGTGGTGGGTCTGCACGAGGCTCCCTCGACACGGCAGCTCGGAGGACAGACCTCCCTGAGTGAACCTCTGTCTCCCTGAGCCAGCCCTGGGGGGGAAGGACAAGGCTGACAAATTTCAGCCCTGCTCAGGTCTTCGGTGCCCACGTAAAGCCGTTGGTCAGAATTCTGGGTCTCTCCCTTCAGAACCCTCCTGTGGCTCACGCTTAAACTGGAGCTTGCTGAGCAGAGCATTCAGCACAGGGTAGGCAAAGGAGACCGAGGTTTACCTGCAGGTGAAAAGCGTTCAGACTTAGGGCTCTCAGACCAATGCTCACTCTCAGTATCTCTTTTCAGTTATGGAAAATTAAACCGTGAACTGACCAAACATCAGCAGTCAGCCCTCTCCACCAGAAAGACCAGAGAAGATAACCAACAGCATGGGCAAAAAGCAGAGATGCTCTCAAACTATGGAAATCTGTAATTACGATTTTTGAAACAGGTTCTCGGTGTACGTATCGAAAGTTCTGCCTCTGCTTTACTGTTCTACAACATACAGAATAAACTGGTCTAAGGAGTGAAGTCATCCCCTGGCACGGACGCACAGCAAAAGAGCGTTAATGGGGCTGCGAGATCTCCTGCGGGGGGTCACCGATGACTGCTACGGGTGCCTTGTTCCTGCCAGATCGGAGCCCTGTGCACACGACAGGTGAAGTCAGCCCTCCTGGTTCAGTCAGCATCGCCCCTTTGCAGAGAGCTCAGGCGCTACACCGGAGTCTTTCAATTTGTGCATCCTCCTTCAGAGCTCTGCTCAGACTGGTAATGCTGAGACGCGTTTATCTGAACGTGCTGAAGAGTATTTCTCGTCTTAAAAGCGCTGTGCTCGAGGCCTTGGCTCTATCCTGAACTACCGCAGGATGGGGCGGTGACATTTGCTCGGCAGAAGATGAATTCTGCCCCAGTGCCGACAGGGAAGCAACAGAGCAGCTTCACGCTGGTTGGCTCGCACTGGGTCTTCTGCAAATACATGGTGAGCATTTTTTGAAAACGTTACTTGCATGAGAACGACCTTGCACCACAAACTACAAGTAAAGCATTTTACCAACTAGAGAACATTTTGCTGTGTTCCCTGCAACAGCTCGGTTACGCTCCGCCCTGGCGTCTCTTTTTCTGACACCCAGCGTTGCCGCGTGGGGTGAAGCTGCTGCAGCGCGGCCCTGCACCCGTGCCTGACACTGGCGTGCCCGAGGAGGACATCTGGGGTGAGAACCAGCGCCGTGGAGGAGACGCGGCAAAGACTTCTGCACCCAAAAGCAATGTTTAGAAAGGGCATAGGAGAGAAACAGAATGTTTTAAAGACATCTGTTAAATTACATTTTCCTTAACTGACTCTACTATCGTCTATTTATTAGTAAAGAAAAAAGCAAAAATTGAGGAACTTTTCATAGCTTCCTTCTTTCACATAAGGGGTAAGATGGCATAAGAATTTCTGGTAGTAAATTGTTTACAGCTCTTTTCTGTACAAGGAAGAGTTGCCAGATGTAAAAGGAGATGACAATTTTATATATCAAAATGTACAAATAAATCTACAGTACAAGTATTTCATCATTAACAACTGTTTCTACCTGACTTGATGTTTTTTAGAATACCTTTGTTGAACATTATTACTTGAACAGGGAGCCAAGTAATAAACTGCATTTGTTTTCCAGAAGAGTATTACGTTTGTGGGTAAAACCTGGGCCACAGATGTAGCTGTTCAAAGTATCACACCCCTGAAAGTCCACAAAGGCTCTATTTTATACAGTGCAGAACCCACAGGCCATGAAGTGGAGTTTCTTTTTAATATCTATATAAAAAATAATGAGCGATTTACAGGTCTCTAGTCAGAACCTCAGAAGTATGTATAAAGGTGCTGTACAATATATAAACATTTACACCCAGTACATCCATACATTGCTTAGCATTCCAAGGCCACACTGCTACGTCATCTGATACAGTCAGTACAGGTACAGGTTCTACGGAAGGAGAAATCACACACAGGTAAGACACTAAATCAGGTCACATTAACATATAGAAAAAATATAGGGGTCGCTGATGACAAGGAAATAATTTCAGTGGCGCTAATTCATCTTTGTATTCAACGTCTGAATTTGTTACTGTACTCAGTGGTGAGGGCAAGTGCATACAACGCAACACAAAACAGAATCTCTTGGTAAGAATACATGGTTAATATCTACACAGGCTACTTCAAAGTATTAAATAATTTCACAGTCATACTCCACAACATGGAGTATTTGTACGTGTTATGCTACACAGCAAATCTCAATGGATCATCCAATGTCAAGCAGCAGAGCACAGTTCAGATCTGCTTTAAAGCCTACTTAATTTTCAAAGTCTTTGTTTGAAAAGCTGTTTGAGTAGTCCTCTGTACTTCTAAAGAATTCAGCTCGGAACTGATTCACTCTGCTTCATTAAGCTTTAAAAATATTCACTGTTTCAAAGCCAAAACGAGATAGTCACTCATTCACTTTCAAATTGTATGAGTCTGAATTTAAACACAAGTAAATCTTGACCTTTTGCACTTTCTCCTTCTGCAAACTGGACCAGCAGGCTCCTTTTACTACCCTGCAGCCATTTTCCACCAGCCCGGGGTGCTCCCAGCCCCGTCCTGGACACTGCTGGGGAGGGGGCAGCCACAGCTGCTCTGGGCAGCAGGGGCCTCACCCGCTATCATCATCTCTACATCATCACTAAAACGGTGAGGAAAACAAACCCCTTCAATTTATGCAGCCTGCTGTTGGTACAGCCGTAGGGCTGATGTTTCAGCAGATTCTGGTGGCAACATTCCTCTTTCTAAAGGACGTATTCTAGCCCAAGCAAGAGACAGGAGGTCTCCTGCACCCTGTGTGTCACCTGTCAGCTCTTGGAACAGATCACACACTCCAAGTAAAATATGGGAGACTTATAGAATACACAGGCAAGAGCTTTGTTTAGGAAGCTAGTGTGGCAGTTGGTTCAGTCCTAAAGGTCAGTGTTATCTCTACAGAGGGAAAAAATCCAACTCCTAACTAGCTTTAAATAATTAAAGATGGGACGTCAGCGTACAGCACCACAATGAGGCTGAAAGGACGTGCACCCACTGCTTGTGGTGACAACGCGTGGGATGAGACAGTGCCGCACGGGAAACCAAAGGAATGAGGTTACTTAAGAACCCAGAATCCTCTCTTTTCAAGACAGATGTTTGTGAACAGTTGTGATAAGCATTCTTATGAATCAATAAAGCAATTTTGCTGTGTTCATAAAAAGCAAAATTACAAAATATTGATTATGTCAAATATAATTTTTATGTACACGATTTTGTATTACGTATAAAAATTTAAGAAAATACATCAATTGAACAGCATCAGTGGCTCATTTGCTGCCCTAGAACTGATAGAACCAACTCACCCACGCTCTTACTGAACCAGTAAGAACCATGTGCGTGTATTTCCTTATGTAAACATGCAACATGCTCGGGAGAAAATACCCATTTCAAACCAAACCTTGCCTTTTCTGTGACTGGAATACATACGAGAAGGATTAGATTGACTGGATACAGTAGATCACTTGGCACAAGAACAAGAAGTGAGTGATGATCACACTGGCAGTATAGGCATTAAATAATTTTGTTCAGAAACTCACAATACTATCTGAGAAAGCCGCAGCAGTGCAACGTTGAGAGCAGCAGAACACCGCCTTCAAAAGGACAAGGGGACAGCAGCTTATGGAAGAGTTTCATTCAAGCAATCCAAAAGGTCCTTCATGCAGCTTAAGATAATTTAACAACAAATCAAATACTTTCCACCCTCTAACCAGTTTCTGGAAAAAAATGACAACTTTGTGAAAAAAACAATGCTTTTAAACGACCATTATTAGAAACTTGATTAAAACATGTTCTAAAAAAAGCATCAGTCAAACCCGTTTTTCAGCCACGCCTGCTGTTTGGGTGACTTTACATGCGCTTGGTACCCTCCAAGGTCCAGGAGTTATCGGTGTTTTCTTGACGGGAGAACTATTCTCAGATTTGGAAATCCCATCATCTTTGGTTTCATTGGGCAGCTCCACGTGTCTCTCTCCGTGTTGTCTGTTCAGTGTAGCAGTCTCCTGTGTTTCTAGCCACCTTTGTTTCTCCATGGAAAGCAGTGAAATATTGGAAAGACTGGAAGCTTTGAATCTGCTGGAACTTGGCTCTCCAGAGGCTGACTTCTTTATTTTTTTGTCTTCAGATGTGTTTCTCCTCGAGTCACTGAATGGAAGAGTATTCTCACCAAATGCTGCATATCGTCGCTCCGGAGACCACCCTGCCGTCCTTCCAGAAGCTTTCTGCTTCGTGTCTTTCCTGGTGACTCCTGTTTTACCATTTCCACCTTTCAACTGCTCAACAGCTGTCTTGTCGCCACCAGTTGTTCTGTCTTGATATTCTTGTAACCTGCCTACCGTTTCTACTTTTCCTTGCATACTGAGATGCTTTTGGGGACTGGCAGAACCTCCTTTATTTCCACTGGAATACTCTTTTTTGTTACTGCTGTTCATCCCTATTTCTGTGGTTTTACTCTCACTCCTTCTGGAACTGTCAGATTTACGTGAGAGATCGCGGTAGGTTTTTTCAGGATCTCCTTTTCTGGGGCTGTGGAATCCCGTGTGAGCGTGCCCCTCAGCAGCCCCTAACTTCTCTGGACTTGCAGATCGGTCTCTGCTGGTCCCTACTTCCAAACTACCTTTTGTGATTTCCAACCCAGGACTGGAGGGACATTCCCATCTGTTCTTCGTTCTCTGGGGAGAAGACTGAGGCTTCATCTCAAACTGGTTGTCAGTTAAAGTGCTTATCTTTTCAGGCACAGTGTTCTTTGCTTGTTCCAGTTTCTCAGACAGCTGAACCCTTGTTAAAGCTTCTCCTGGTACTGGTAAATAACACACTTCAGATGGGGAAGCAGAATGTGAAGATGATTGTGACTGTTCTTCATGTATTACATTTGACGAAGATGGATTATAACTATCCCAATCACCTGGAAGTGAACAGTGAGAGGTTTGACTAATGACTACAAAGCAAAAACAAAACAAAACAAATCTCTAAACATTTTACAAACATGCATACTACTGAGGCACCAGGATGTCATATGAAATGTTCAATTTAAAAAAGATTATGTAGTGGCATACTCTCGAAGTCTTATTTACTCAGTTTCCTATATTGCACTGTTCTACAACCACCATACGGATCCGATTTTGGAAAAACACTTTCTGCTTCGAATGCTGGCATGATCTCTGCAGGACTGACACAGTCTTGTGCCAGCACAGCTTTAGAGCCTACGCAGCCGAATTGCAAAACAGAAATCCCCTGACCTACACTGTTA